GCACCCAATTGTCACTTTCGCCACTCGATGCAGTGGCCTTTTGGTCACAGTTTTGTGGGTGGGGCGAGGCCCCTTTGATTGGCTCCGTTGCACTCCGCTCTTGCGCTGACCTTACCGACCGACTTTCGTAGTGAATTCAGGCCCATAGTTAGTTCACAGTCAGCTTTTTCACTTGTCTCACCCTCGTACAGAGGAAACACTTCTAGATGAGGGGGAACCGGCCTCTGGCCTTTGGTGGTGTTTTGGGTTGTTGTTTGGTGGGTTTTTGTTTGGTTTTGGGGTTGCTTGTGTTCTCTTCCCTCTCATCATGCTGTGTTTCCTTCCCCTTCAATGATGACCTGGGCACTCCGCCCACACGGCGTCCGCACTCGTGGAAAAAAAGACAGGGCATGCCAGGCCGGTCTCGGCTTGGGTAGGCAGGGGCGCAAAGTCCTCTGGAAAGGGGACTAGGGCGATGTCCCAGGCGCGAGGGCTGCTCATACGTCGTACTTTGTCATACGGTGATTCGTCAACTTTTTGGTTTGATTTCTTTCTGGGCTGCGTCGTGAAGGCAAGTAGGAGTGCGAGGACTGAAAAGCAATTGTCTCCTTCTTGTAGGACAACTCTGTAGGCCTTCCTACCTGGCAGCCCATGTGCACTTCATTTGAGGAGCTGTTCGCCAACTGCTCAAAGTTGTGGTGTTGGAGATGGGCTGGGCAAAAGACCGCAGCTTGTGACCACGGGGGAAAAGCAATACGATATTCGTGCATCCCCTGTCGACCAGGAGGCCGTGCTGTTTGACAGTCGGGCTGGCCCACAGGCTTTTCTGCGTGCTCCATCAAGGAACGTGAGTTGCGGAAGGAAGAGGGCCAAGATCACAAAGACTTCTCTAAACGGGATCGGCGCAAGCAGATTCTTGGCCATGTCGGTGAGCCATTGTGCACAGGCACTCTGGTTGTCTTTGCCTACTCTGAAATTGCGCAGCAGTAGTGCCTGCGCTTCTTCCATGGAGGCTATTTCTTGCCCAGCGACACACAGCTGGAGAAGTCGGAGGAGTTCCTGATCCGGTTGGTGAAGATTCGATACAAGCATGCTAATTGCTCCTTCCCAGTCATCACTCGCCATGAGGGTTTCGAAGCGAATCCAGGAGGCCAATCGCATAGGTGCAGCGATCCTATCACGGTTAGGAATGACCTCCGGGTGTGTGAGTTTGAGGTCCGTAAGTCTGACTTGCCCTTGGGGGAGTTGGCAGTGCAGCCAATGCCAATAATTATGTTTACAACTACCCATCCAGCGCGCTGATTCCTCCACGTAAGTGATGTGGAGGGATTGCTGAAGCATGCTGAGTTCCTTTGCATCCGGCTTCCAATCACACAGGCAGTCCTCTGTCGCATGGACAAGGTAGTAATGATGTCTCTCCGTGTCAGCGGTGGCTATCAAGGCAGCCAAGACCCCCTTGGGCATGGCAATAGCTCCCAGCCTTGCCGTGACCTGGCAGGTCGGCCATAGGCAGCGAATTGCTAAGGCAATCACTGCTCCAGTATAGCTACCTGCACTAAGTCCATTGACTGTGAAAAGAACGGGGGGTGCTTGCTTCACTTGTCGAAAGCAGCTGAGCATGTAGACAGGCGATCAGCTGCAAGGGTTGTAAAGAGAGCAGTTTCCACCAAAGTCCGCTGAGGAAGGCCTTGTGTGGGAGCCTTCTGTGAGCTGGGAGGAGACGGGCGGCCTTCAGTACTCTTTGCGTTCGTTGGTACAATACTGCAGCCTTTCCAAAGCCTAGATCTTCCCACTTGCGACAGGGATCTTGGATGTGCGAAAAGAGGGTGGCAACCTCATGAATGCCAGTTGTACAGCCCGCTGCAACTGCTACATGCTCATCCTGGACGACATCAGCCGGTGAGAGCGATGGGCCATAAACTTGGCTCTCACCGACTGGCGGGCACGTGCAATGGAAATGCGGCGGGATGTTGCCTTCCAAGGCACCCCCTCCGAGGCCGCCACAGTTAATTTGCAGCACAGGGGGAGCGGTAGAGCATCATATCCTATCCAGTACTCGTTTTGTTGAGCTACTGTCCACAGGAGAGTATTCCAAGAGAATTCGGCTTGTTGCCTTTGGTACATGGCTTGAAACACTTCTGAGGCGACTTGTTCCAAGGGCATGATCTGGTCTTGGAGCTGTTCCAGGAGATTGCCATTGGCAGCAAGGAAGAGTTCTTTCTCGCCTGGAAACATGCATTTGGGGTGATCCAAGGCTGCGCGCAGCTCATCATGTGGGCAGGACTCGATGTCCTTATGCACTGCTATCAAACCCCGAAGACTAGCGACCTGGTTCCACGACACGAAAAGCGGGGGAGACAGGAGCTGCGGACTGACAGTAGGCTTACTTAGGTGAACTGCATTGTCACTCCCTGTCGGAGCTGACGCGACAGCTTGGGCAAGGTGCCTTGCTCTGTTGTCCGAATTATTCGACGAGGGAGTGTCAACAGACTCCAGGTCATCACTGTTCCCTTCGGCTGGACAACAGCTAAGGCTGTCACCCTGCGCTTGCTCTGAGAAGAGCTCTGACGCCGGCTGGTAAGCGGCTCGCCACCTCAGCAAGAGACAGAAACGCAGCGCACTATTGCCTACTATACCAGGGCAGTATCCCGTGAATTTGCAACCCCCGATTGGTTTCCAGTTGTCAACCATCCAAGCCGGCGGAAGGCTCGGCATCCCTAAGATGGCCATTGGCAGGGTTTCCCATCCCTGTTTCTCCAAGTCACGCAAGGCTGTCTGCGCTCCAATTTTGGCTTTGCCGAAAGCATGAAATATGGCTCGCATCCGATCTCTTGACAGTGCGCTGGCTTGGAACAGGTGCTCCCCTGGCAGTGATGTGGCTGTGCATGGTCCTTCTAACATGGGGAGCACTGACAAGATCCCCTGCTCGAAAGTGGCTCTAGCCACGGGGTTCGCATTTGCCCAGCAGGCGTGAGAGCTTGAGGGTGGGATTGTCGAGGCCATTTGAGGGATCCACCATCTTCATGTCTGGCAGGGATCAATTTGGGGCAAGGCCAAAAGTTCTTGCACATGTATAAACCATACAATGACCAAACTACGCACAGGTCGAGGGCATTTTGCATGGGAACCCCAACAAAGGGAGTAAACACGGTTCCATTAATAGCAGTTTCACTCGGAGAAACCGGCGGCCTGGCTCTGGAAACTAGGGCGAGTCGATACGCTTGGAGTTCTTTGGCCAACATCGCTGAATTAGGTTTTCTTTCCAGCCGACTGCTCCTATGGCTTTTGCCGATCGAAATGACTAAGCCTGCATTGTACTCCAAGTGCGCCTCCGTGAAAAGCAACATTCCGATTCCACGGCAGGGGTCGGACTCCGTACGCGCATGGCCGACCAGGTCGACCCATTGGAGTTGCTGATGAGCCAGTTCTAGCAAGTCTTGCACTTCAAATAGTGTTACAGGCACACAATCGTTGTCGATGAGTGCAAAGTGCTGTTTGGGGTACAGGAAACGTGCAGCCTCCAGGACAAAAACCCCTCCCCAATAATAGGGTACCCTGTGAAGGCCTGTGGTGTTATCTGCACAAACCCAGAGCACATCGGTTGCTTCTTCCTGGGGGCCTACTAGGCATCGACGCGAGGCCCACCACGCTGCGAAAGCTGGCCAATGCGGGACTGCTTCAGGCTTACGATTGTCGACAGTGAGGTAGATCATTTGATTGCGAGTGATAAGCTCACTTTGCAACATCAATGCATGTATTATAGCAGTCATGTTGGGGAGGTCCCCATCTATCCCGTCCGTGTCATAACCTTGGTCCTGGTTGGGTGGCTGTGCACGAACGTCAGCCAACATGACCGTAGGCTGTGCGGAGTCCAGGCCAAACGGACTACTAAGTTGATCAGGCATGGCCAAGGCTGCGTAGGCATCCTCTTTAGCCTTCGAGTCACCATCAGATGTGCCTTGCACGAAGAGAGTGCGGCCAGCTTCTGAGAGCCAGTCTGCCGCTTCCTGCGTGAATGCCATAGGTGCCCGGGTTCTGTCATCCATGCTATCATGTAGGTCCAAAGGGTTGTCTGTCATGTCCAGAGGTGGAGTGAAGGTCACCTGCCAGGGATCTTGAGACATCGGTTGCACCTAGTTCGAAAAGGCACGTGCAGCATCCACCAACTAAGGTTGGCAGACGTACAGGCAGGCGCGAACTTAGGTACTCCCTCGGGGATGGTCCGGAGACCCGGGGCATTGCACGATCCACCAAAGTGACCACTAGTGACCACCTCGCTGCACGAACTCGGATACTATTGGAGCGGCCACCACCTTGCACCCTCGTGTTACCTCTCCTTGCGAAGCTGCTTGAAGTGCACCGCCGCAAGGATGCCCTTGCTTCGCTCCTCCCCCCTCCTCCCAGTGGAGGGGGGCAGCAACGCATGCACATGATTGTACATGCAGTGCACCCTAGTGGCCCTTTGCTGACAACTAATCCATTGCCAAAGATGAACCACTCATGAAAGGTCACGCTGCTGGCAATGAAATGCCCTTTCGTTTGGCACGCTAGGGCCTTCTCTCGCAGTGGTTTTCCAATGACCGTCCTCCGAAACTGCTACGCACATGCCTGCTGGTGATTGCTTGCCTGTCGGAATGCCGCTACCTCTCCAAGCCATTGTTTGCGTAAACAGAAAATGCATGGCCTGAGCATACAGGCCATATTGTCGAGTGCGCAAGACATAGGTGCACAAGTGCACGCACCTGCACACAATACTTGTCGAAAATTATTCCCGAACTTTCGCAACAAGTACTGAGAGGCCTTTTTGCTTAATTCGGTGCCCCAAGTAGGTTTCACCTGATCCTATTTTCGTCTCACCATTGCATGACCTACCTGAGTCTCCATAGTCGGCCGTGGGTTTTGTTGTTTTTTGGTTCGGGTTTGCTGTTTTTGGTGGCTTTTGCTCTGTCGTTGCCTCGGCCGGCGACTCATTCACAAGTAGCACAAGCTGACCTGTGCATTCTCTGCACACATGGCGGCTCCACTCGTGAGGATGGGGGAAAGTCGGGGCATGGCATGGAGGAGGGGAGGGCAGGCAGGGAAGCAACGCAGGTCTCATCCCTACGCCCTCCTCGTGCTGTTGGAAAAGGAAGCAAGTGCGGTGCTTTTGATTGTGCCGTTCCCCATCTTCCCCCAACTGGTGCAGACTAAAGGTTTGTTTCTTCAGCGTGAACTTGTGCAATTATGTCATGTTCCACGCGATGGCTGAAGGTGGTACGCTGCAGTGGACACCAACACAAGAACATGGAACGCAGTTGTTGCCTTATCCCGCGAGGCCCACACACAGACACACACACACAAACACACTTGGTGGTGTTTGGTTGAGAGTTTCAATGGCCGAGGTTGCACTACTTTCAGTTCTGTTTTTTTTCTTGGTCGCAATTGCTCAGAGTTGTAGGCAAATAGGTGGCCTCTTGGAGGTCTCATTCCTCCAATGAGTCTGAGTCAGGGCAGCGGTGATCCAGAACAATGGCGGGTGCTGCTACACCAGGAAACGCAGAATCTTCGTGAAGAGTTGCGCAGGGAGATGCGGGAACAGTTGGGGGAGCAACCGAATCTGGAGCAGCTGCTTTCTGGGAATCTTGGCCAAGCCCGCGTGCCGCCCGAGTTGCTAAGGAACTCTGGAAGAAAAACATGTTTGACAGAGGGGAAAAGAGACGACCAGAAAAGGAATCAAACACAAATTCAGTAACAAGAAACTACTAGTACTAGGAGCAAAGATGCTACTAGTAGCTCTTGGCCTTACTACTAGTAGCAAGAAACTTTCTAGTTTGATCAGTTTGATCTTTTATTAATCTATTCTCTTGGCCAATCTATTCTCTTTCGATCTCTGGTGCCAGAAAATGCAGGAGCTTCACATCTGCTACTCCAGTTGGTGCTCCTTCATTGCTCCCCAGACCAGCATGGTCTCGACATGTGTCGGACGGGAAGACAGGGTCGGAGCCCGACGACTCGGAGTTGTTTGAGTGGCATCGACATCCGCGACTTGTTCGACCCCCACGTAGCAACAGTAGCTCTCCCAGCAACAGATTCCGGTACCGTCACCATGGCCATGGTCGAGCTGCGAGCAAACATGGCTCGCCGCACCGCCAGAAGAACAGCTTGCTCCCTCCACACATGCCTGAGGACACTTCCAGCTCTATTTTTGCTCATTTTTTTGTTTTTCCTGAAACAAATCATTTTGTTTTCCTTGTCCTGTACACTGTACACAAGGTGAAAGCTATTCTCTTGGCTTTAGGCCTTGAACGCCACTATATACATTTTACTATTTTGTATATTATTTGTTGTTTTTTGGTCTTAGGTTTCACTTTTGCTTTCTGTGTTTTCCATTCTTTTCCGGTTTATTGATCCTTTTTGCTGCTAGTCACTGCTAGTCCTTGAATTGGCAACCATTGGCCTTCCACGCTGCCAGGAAGCAACCTTGATCCGTTCATCCCGGAGGTTCTCACAGATGTCAAATCCTTTGCTCATCCGCGAGGTCCGAAGCCCTGCCCATCAGTCCTGGAGTTTGAGGGCTTTGGTCGAGTCCTCGCTCTTCTCCAGCTTCATTGGGGCCATGATTCTGATGAACTGCATCTTCATTGGAATTCAGACAGACTATGCTGCTTCCACCTGGCAAGCCAAGGCAGTTCCGTTCTTCGTGGTCAGCACCTTGGCCTGACAGCCTTTGATAGTGTTGGGTCTGAAGCGAAACTGGACGAATCTTCTTTAGGAAAGAAATTCTTTGGCGGTATTTTTCATGTCCCTTAGGTGAGTTTGTTTTTGCCTTCATCTTCCTCCTGGAGCTCATCCTCCGCATTTCTGCCTACAGATGCGAGTTCTTCACTGGATCTGACATGACATGGAACCTCTTTGATACCACACTCATCCTATCTCAGGCGGTGGAGCAGGGGACACCTGGCATCTCCAGTTTCAAGCCTGGAAGAGTTTGGGCATAGCACAGAGATCCACAGCAAAGGTCGCTGTGTCTTCTTCTTTCCTCCGTGAAAAAGAGTGTCTTGCAAAACATGGCAAGATCCGTTGCACCAAGGATCACTGCGGCCATCATCTACAAAAGTGGCGGCCTGCAGGAACATCTGTGTCGGAATCATATCAGTTCGGAGATTGTCGAGAAACGTAGACATAGCACTGACGGTAGAAATGGACTGATCATATGATTTGTTACTCCACGAGTGCGGACGAATGATGATTTTAGCAGAATTCTGTATCCATCTCTGTGGGTCGGAGTCTCTAGGACTTGGATCTTTCACAGCTGACCGACGATGTTGTAGTTTTGCGAGCCTTGCGAATTTTTCGCCTACTTCGCATCTTGCATCTTGGCAAGATGCGAACACGCTCTGGTGTCCCAGTGTGTAGAGATTGCCCTGCATTTTTCTGGGCCAAATTAGTTTTGCATCCTTCAGTCTCTGACCTTTCCGCTATCGGCCTGTTGTATTCATGATGTCACACATGAGTCTCAGATCTTTTCTGATCAATGCAGGCCTGTTCCAACGGTTTTGAATCTATGGTCTATGGTGCTGCTATCAGCTGTCATTCCTCCTTGTATCTTTTGTTCCGAACCGTAGTTGTTTTTGGCACTTTCTGGAGCCTTGCCAAACTTTTCGTTGCCGAAGCTTTGGCTGGATTGGTTCCTTTTGAGCAAACTTTGTCACCTTTTCCGTAGCAGCGGGAGGCCATGCTGCTTGTAACTGTCACTGTGATACGCTGAGGCGGATTCTCCGAATCATGCATATCAGCGGGGAACTTCAGGCCACGATATAAGTTTCCCAAAACATCTAAATCTAGGAACCAAATCATTAGCGCGAGCTATCCTGCGTCCTGTCGGTAGTAGCTTACTTGCAGCTAGTATCCACCTCTCCCTCCCAGCGGCCTAGCCCCCCCGCGTGCAAAAACAAAAAGGAAGGCCTTTTCATGTGCCCTGAGAGGCCATCACCACTGCTGTGATGAAGGGCCTTCGGTCGTTTTTATGGACAGTCATTTTCTTGCTGCTTCTTCTGTATGCCGTGGGTGTGTTCATTACGCAGAGTGTGACGGACTTCAAGATCAGTCTCTGTGCCCGCACTTTGTGTCGGTACTGTAATGCCAAGATCACAAAAGGAGGAAAGGAAGGAGAAGTTATATAAAAGGTTCAAATCTTTGAAGTCTATTTTTTCAGGCAAAACGAGAATTGTAAGTCAAGTTTCCCTAAAAATCTAGGAACAAGTGAATAGTGCGAGCGCTTCTTCTAGGAAGCTCCCCCCACCTCCTTTAGGGTGGCGGAGGGAGCTTCCTTGAAGAAGCGTGAGCTATCCTGCGTCCAGTTACTAGTAGCTTAAGTAAGCTAGTAGGTGCCTACTTGATTAAGGGAGGGGGGGAGAGGGCTAAAAGAACGGTTTCTTTAGGTTTGGAAAGCCGCGGCTCCTTGGACCCCGAGTTGGGCGACTATTTTGGATCACTGGCTGAGACGATGTTGGCACTCTTCCAGGCCGTCACGGATGGACAGGAATGGCGTGAGATGTTGAAACCGCTGATGACCGAAATCTCGCCATGGATGGCGGTGCCCTTCTGCATGTATATCTCGTTTACCGTCTTTGCCTTGTTGACTCTCGGCCTGAACAAATACTGTATACGTGCCACCAGCGCCTAGGGAAACATTGTACCAGAAGGCGAACATGAAGTCGGTACATGTGAGATCAAGATTGAATTAAGCTTCCATGCAGGAACAAACGCAAGATTGTGTTGCACTGGACTGTGGCACATACCGCCACACATTTGACACGACGTTTTAGTTTGTATGGACACCACATTCAAGCCATGAGCTATGCGCGTGCAACACATAGGCAACACATAGCAGATTGCTATCAGCATTCAAGACAGGCGCCATAAATTTTAGATTCGCCGTCGCATTTTCGCCACAAGACAAAATGTGATACACTCTGTTCAAAGCAGATACGCCGTGAGATAGTGTCTGAGACATCATGGAATTAGGTAAAGAAAGACATTGAAGGGTGGAACCATAGCGATCACCCAAAGCATTTTTTAGCTACTAGTAAGGAGTAATGACATCCATGACGGAGCACTGTTTGAGCTGTATTTAGGGAAAACTGCGCTAGAGCATTGTGTCCAAGAAAGTTGGCATCATAGTCTGCTTGATGAGTTTGATCCAGGATTTTCATTCTGGTTCATGTCCGTTAGCCTCTTCTACATGGCAAGCACTTTTCGAAAACTCATGTCACAGCTATTCAAATTATTGAAACAATTTGACCCTGCGCATTTCTTATAAACCACGACTTTTCCTTTACCATGCCTTTAACTTGCAGCTTTGGCATGGACACAACAGATGTGCAGTTGCACAAGCGTGTGTTACAATTACATGTGAAGATGCTCAATACGGCATTGACGTTATATTCATGTGATGTGCGAATTGACAGCTGCTTTAGGTAAGTGTTCCTTTTGCTGCTGCACCGTGCCGTATTGGAAGCACGTGATTTGGGATTATGCAGGGAACCCGTTTCGAGCTCCCCACTTGTCTCCTTACCGAAGGTTCGTTCTCCTTCAATGCTGCCACTCCGAGATTCAAATCGGTGACGAATGTCCGTCCAGTGTTTGGTGAGCACATTGTCCCAGAGGTCCCGATTGCCTTGAAAGGGAGGAAGTTTAGGTGACGGCTTCGGTTTATAATCATGGACCTGTGAAATCTGAAGCCTGCATGTCACGTGTTAGAGCAACAACCTTGTGATCGGCAAGGATGATGTAACATGCAGGGACATTGGATTGGAGGGGCGTTTTTGTTTCGGATTTTTTTCATTGTTTTTTTTTCGGATTCTGCTTTTGCTGCGTTTCTGCTTCTGCTGCGTTTTTGCTTTTGTTGCTTTTCTGCTTTTGCTTTTCTGCTTCTGCTGCTTTTGTTGCTTTTCTGCTTTTGCTGCTTTTCTGCTTCTGCTGCTTTTCTGATTTTTGTGTTTTTGTCTTTCTGCTCTTTGCTTTTGTTGCTTTTCTGCTTTGGCAGCTGTTCTCCTTTCACTTGTTGTTTTTGCTTTTGCATCTGTTTGCTTTCTAACCTTTGGATCTGGTGTGCTGCTGGGGGGGGGGGCGCAGCCCCCCCAACCCCCCCGCGCCACGAAATCTGCACTTATCTCCGACACCCGCGCCTGCCACGAAATCAATATTTTAAGGTGAACTCCCCGGGGCATAAACTTCTAACCAATCATATATGCCTCCTGTGCTGGTTCTCCTTCTCTTTACTGTTTCTCTGCTAACGTAGGACTTTCTCTGACACCTACACTATGCCAATGTATTTTGCCAGCTACGACAGCTCCCAAATTAGTCTAATCAGCTAGCAATTAGTATGAAATTTGCAGTATTCCAATGTATTTGGCCAGCTACGACACCTGTGTCTCGGCTAAGGACACGAAATTGCTGTAATTGGCTAGGTACTAATAAGAAACCTGCTCTATTCCAATGTTTTTGAACAAATTACCAAAAACATAAAATCCCAAATTAAACGTGCACCCCATTGGATTCAGCACTAGGGAAATATGGTGGGTTCTTCAAAGGCAAAAAGACGATGCGCAGAGGTTACATTAAAGTCCCCGAAAAAAGAGAGGTGTTGGTAGCCTGACCAAAAGCTTCCTGAGATTCCAGTTTGGGAGGAATATAGAGGGACGTTGTGACCTACCTCCGTCTCTATCTCTCTTTCTCTCTCACAAGGAACATCCTCACCGGTATCTTTGTGGACTCGGCACTTCAGAATGGGCAAGAAGAAAAGCGTCGCTTTCTATTGCAAGAAGTGGGACAGCTCTTCTTGGAAGCTGACAAGGTGGCCGTGCTTGTTTAGAGAAAGGAACGGACGAAACATAGAAAAAGATACAGATAGTTCAAAGAAGAAAAGATAAGTAAATGGAACTGGCCTTGTTAAAACCTCAAGATTTCTCCAAACGGCTTGCCCTGTTTTGCAGTGACTCTGTAAAGCAAGCTCGGCCCAGTGGAACCTCGGGCCATGTGGGCCGCAGGAGCAGATGACGTGGGTGGATTTCCAGGCTCAACTGGAGAATCCACATTTGCAACAGTTGTTTGCAGCCTTGGATGTGACGGAAGCTCGTCATCCACATTTCTGACAACATTTTCAAAAATCAAATGAGTTAAACGAGGAAGATGGTAGCTGCGTGCTGAGGAAGAAGATGCCTCTATGCTTTTTCATATGTTGGATGCTTCACACGAGGGCCACATTCAAGCCGACGAGTTTCTCAACGGTTGCCTGCGCTTGGATGGCCCGGCCAAAGCCATCGACTTGGCGGCCTTCATGGAGGAGTCTCGGAAGGCTGCGGGTTTGTCTGGAAAAAATGGGGGAGGAAATAAGACAAATGAGGAGATCAGGGGATGGTATGGACAGGGCGGTTCGGGCAGGGCATGGGGTACCTTTTTGAAGGGCTCAGAAGTGAACAGCAGACAGGGAGAAAAATGGGAGAAGGGGATAGACACAACTCTTCACTTGGTGCGGAGAGACTTCACAAACCTCTCCAGGTGAATCGAACTTTCCTGACACAGGTGCCTTGGCAGTCAAGATGCACCAAGTATGGATTGTGCAGGGTTTGTGGGCCTAGTAAGGCACTTGTTCCTAGTAGCGATGCACTTGTTCCTAGTAACTTCTTGTTCCTAGTAACTTCTTGTTCCTAGTAACTTCTTGTTTCCAGTAGCTTCTTGTTTCCAATAGCTTCCTTCTTGTTACTACTAGTAAGGCACTTGTTCCTAGTAGCGATGCACTTGTTCCTAGTAACTTCTTGTTTCTAGT